CCAAGACTGTGACTCTTGGTCGTTGCTGGGCGCATGGCCTTTTCCCAACAGAATGAAACACTGATTCTGCGCCCTCCTCACAATGGCTCCTCCTCTGCCTGAGCCCACTGTTGCAGTCACGCGGTCAATCCATCTCCTTGAGGGCCTTCCTCTTTTTCACTATCCCTCTACTTTACCAAACATGATGTCCTTCTCCAGAGACTGGTCTCTCCTGACAGCATGTCCAAAGGATGTAAGACCAAGTCTTGCCATCCGCGCCTCTAAGGAGCACTCTGGCCTTACTTCTTCTAAGACAGATCGCTGTCCTCTTAGCAGTCATGGGACTTTCAATATTCTCCTCCAGCACCGCAATTCAAATGCATCGATTGTCCTATGGCCTTCCTTATTCAAGGTCCAACTTTCACATGCATATGAGGCAATGGAGAACACCATGGCTCCGGTCAGGCACACCTTGGTCCTCCAAGTAATATCCTTGCTCTTCGATACTCGAAAGAGGTCTTGTGCAGCAGATCTACCTAATGCAATAAGCCCTTTGATCTCTTGACTGCTGCTTCCATGAGTATTGATAGTGGATTTAATAAGACAATATTCTTGACAACGTCAACCTTTTCTCCGTTTTTCACGATGTTACCTATTGGTCCAGTTGTGAGGATTTGGGTCTTCCTTACATTGAGTTGTAATCCACACTGAAGGCTATAATACTTGGTCTTCATCCTCCTCACTTTCAGCAAGCAAGGTTATGGCATATGCATATCATAAATTTTTATAAACCTTCTTTCAGTCCTGATGCGACCTTCTTCCACATATAAGCTGTCTTCTTGGATGATTTGCTCAGCATACAGATTGCGTAGGTATGGTGAGAGAATACAATCCTGTCATATACCATTTTCCTGATTTTAAATCATGCAGCACCCCCTTGTTATCTTCACACAACTGCCGCCTGAGCCCTGGACTAGTTTCTCATGAGCACAATGAAATGTTCCGAAATTCCCATTCTTTTCAAGGTTACCCACAGTTTATTATGGTCCCCACAGTCGAATGCCTTTGCATAGTCAATGAAACACAAATAAACGCCTTTCTGGTATTCTCTGTTTTGAGCCAAGATCCATCTGACATCAGCAATGATATCCCTTGTTTCTTGTCCTCTTCTGCATCTGGCCTGGACTTCTGGCAGTTCCCTGTCAATGCACTGCTGCAACTGTGTTGGATGATCTTACTCGCATATGATATCAATGATCCTGTTCTATAGTTTGAGCATTCTGTTGGGTCACTTTCTTTGGAATGGCACAAATAGGGATCTCTTCCAGTCAGTTGACCAAGTAGGATCTTCCAAATTCCCTGGCATAGATGAGTGAGTGCTTCCAATGCTTCTTCAGCTTGCTGAAACATGTCAATGGGTATTCCACTCATTCTTGGGGTCTTGTTTTTGGCTAGTGCAGTTTGAAGTTCCTTCAGCACTGTTGGTTCTTGCTCATATGCCATTTCCTGAACCGGTGGAATGTCAGCTAGTTCTTTTTTACATTTTTCCAGGGGTTACATTTATTATGAGTTTAACACTTACCAGACCACCATCTCCCAAAGCACCAAGCTTTGTTGCTTATCTAAATACCAGGTGCTTCACACCTGAATACCTGTCTTCCCCCCCACCCCAACAGTTGTATTGGTACGTGGTTTACATGTCATAGACTAGTTCTTTGGGGTACAGTGAGTCTGTGTATTCTTTCCATCTTCTCTTGATGTTTCCTGCATCATTCAGTATGTTGCCTATAGAATCTTTCAGGATTGCAACCCGAGGCTTGAATTTTTTCTTGAGTTCTTTCAGTTTCAGATGTGCTGAGCGTGCCCTTCCCTTTTGGTGCCTAAGTTCTTCCACATTTCATTATAAAATGTGGTCTTGTCTTCTTGAGTTTCCTATTCAGCTCTTTGACATTGTGTTAGTCCAGGTAGACTAGATAAACACATTCATAGACACTCATATGTGTATAAGAAAGAACTTTTTATATAAGAGCAATTGAATATTGAGAAAACGTCCCAGCCCAGTCCAGATATTAACCCATATATCCGATACCAATCTATAAAGTCCTTTTCAGACTCATGGAATACATGAAATGACGCCGAATGCAGGAAGATCACAGGCCAGTGGGTGCAAAGTCTTGTGGATCCAGTGGCGGTGCAAGCATCTCAGCACTGGCAGGGGTCTCCACGGGGCTCCTCCAGCTCAGGGCACCTGCGTAGCTCCATGTGTCTTGTCAGCTACAACGTCTCCCAGGGAGTGAGCCTTGTCAGTACAGAGTCTCCAAGGGAGTGAGCAAATGTCCCACCTCCAGTGAGCTATTTATCACCTTAGTGCCTCCACATGAGGTCTTCAAGCTCCGACCTGATTGACAGGCTAAACTCCACCCCATTCACTCTTGCGGCTCAAATTGACCACAGATTACGTAACTACCACAGGCATCATCAGTTCTTCCATTTGCTACTCTACAGTTAAGAGCAAGCTTCAGTCTCTTCTGACGTCCGTTTTGGTCTTTTCTGTCTAATGACCCTTTGCTTTCTTTAAGAAAGATGGTCTTAATGTCCTCCCTACTCCATCATTAGTGTTCAGTGTGTCAAATCTGTTCTTGAAATCCAGGAGGGATCAACGCAAGGTCATATTTTGGTTCTCGTGGGCTTGTTTAAATTTTCTTCAACTTCAACCTGAACTTACATATGAGCAATTGATGGCCTGTACCATAGTTGGCCCCTGGTCTGATTTTAGCTGCTGATTTGATTCCCTAAGTATTCAATCTAGAGAAACCCATGTGTATGGTGTTGTTGAAATAAAGGTGTTTGCTATGAATAAGTTGTTGGTTTTGCAAAATCTATCATGAGATCTCCACCTTCATTTCCATCACTAAGTCCATTGTTTCCAACTGCTGTTCCTTCCTTTTTGCTTACAACTTTTGCATTCCAATCGCCAATAACTACCAATGCATCTTGATTGAATGGTTGATCAATTTCAGACTGAAGTCATTGGTAAAATTCTTCAATTTCTTCATCACTAGCGTTTGTGGTTAGTGCATACATTTGAATAATAGGTATATTGAGTGGGTTGCTTGAGGGCTTTCCTGTCACAGACAGCACTGTATTGCATGATGGATTTAGCAAGGTCCTTTCTGACAACGGATGCCCCTCCATCTATGGTTGAATTATATGAAAAAGAATGGTGCAATCATCATGGTAATCAATTTTAGAACATTTTCTTCAGTGGTATCTATTATTAGGCTCCATTTTCTTCACACCTGCTTGGTTTCCTTAATGCTTAAGCTGCCTCTCCTGGTGGTGGCTGGGCCTCCTGCAGCACATGCCCCCACCTCTCTATGGGCCATTGGTCTGGTGAGAAGAGCAGGGGCCGTGTTTGCAGCAAGTAACCCACCTTTTCCCGACCGCTGGAGGTGGGGAGTGGGTGGTTATGCTGCAGCCAGTAAAACAGCATGATGTTCTTCAAAAAAAGCAATTCAATGGATTCCCCCAGGAGGGGTCAGGGAAGGAGGAAGAAACTGGAGAAATAGCAAAGAAAAAAAAGTAGAGTTGCTATTTATTTAGCAAATAAAATTTAATATACATAAATTTTAATTTCAGATAGACGGTTTGCATAAATGTTCCATGCATTCTTTGGAATATCCTTACACAACACAATTGTTCGCTGTTGATCTGAAATTAACATTTCAGTGGGTGGTCTGTATTTTATCCGAGGACGCTAAAGACAGGGACAGAACTCAAAGACCAGCCAGTGGATTCCAGGGAAGACCTTTGCAGGATTCCCAAACGGATGCTTCTTTTGTATATTTAATGTTTTAAAAGGGTGGGAACTCAGAGGTAGGGGCGCATTAACCAGCAAACACGCAATGCACCAGTTTGCAATGAAAGAGGTACGCACGGGCTTACGCATCTGTAGCAAATGATTTCACACGGATTTCACCGCATCTTTGATCTTTGATGCAGTGACGCCTAGCTGAAATTGTTCACGCCAGATTCTCTCACTCCCGGCCATCGAGAGTCATGGCGACCCTACAGGGGGGCAGAGTAGAACGTGAGGCTGTAACCCTCCGGGAGTAGAAAGCCTCATCTTTCTCCCGAGGAGCAACTGGTGTTTTTAAACTGTTGACCTTGTGGTTAGCAATCAAATGCAAACCCACTACGCCATCAGGGCTCCCTCCACTACAGGTTAGTAAACACAAACCCGTGCAAACCAGGCTTAAGTAGGTCATCTGGCCCCGCTAAAAGCACAAGGAAAAGGCTAGAAAATCAGGGGTGCTGAAAAATGCTTGAAATCGGGTAACTAATAAGGCCCGAAGGGAGGGGGCGATGTGTCCGGTACTGGAAGGCGGTGCAGGGGAGAGGCACTGGGAAGAGGGACTGCAGATCCAGGGCTGGCCGCGAAGGGCGAGGGGTCAGCGCGGCCTGGCCCTTGGAACGGGAGCGCCTGGTGCTGAGGGCGGAGGGAGAAGTGCTTCCGCGCCGAGGTCCCTGACTCGGCCGTGGAACCAGGCAGAAACCCGGGAGTCCCGGGGGCGCGCCCAGAGGAGGCCGGGCACCCGGCGGCGCT